AATGCTTCTGACAAGATCTTGATAGTAGAATTCATCTCCCACACAGAATCACCTAACAACAACTGAGGTTTTCCGTTCGTTGCGGCTTTCTCTTCTTCGATTCCGGCACAATTCACCATGATCCGACCGTTTGGCATCAGCCTGCTAGCTAGATCCAGCCATATTGGAACCTAAAGAAAACTGAAATCAAAATACTAAGACGCACAAAAGTGTCTACATAATGAGACTAATATTTACTACTACTACCTGTTGCAGCTGATCTAAGACTTTTCCATCAGCGAACAAGTCAACAATGATCCCTAAATCAACACAAGAAGTCAGAGAAAAAGAAACCAGAATTATGCACCATGCATATATATTGTTCTTGAAACCGCACCAGCATATCTTCCTGAAACATCTTGAGAAGGAGAGAGAGCATCATCTACATGAACACGAAGACTACCGCCTTTTGAAGTTGGTTTCTCTAGCTCAGATAATCCAAGATAGCCTCTTGCTTTCTCAATCAACTACTGTCACAAAAGAATAAAAAAAAATCACAGTGACCTCAAGATTTTCTAATATGCAAACTCCAGAGAAATCTGAAACTGTGTCCAGATAACATACATACAATTTCATCAATTTCCCAACCTTCAAGTTGTATTGAAGGCCACAACTCAAGCATCAATCTTGCAGCTGTTCCACCACCCTGAAAACCATTTGAACAAAAGTAATCACACCAGTGACAAGTGAAGCATATTTCACATTCATCCTATACAATTCGTTGAGTAGTTCTTCGTTCTCACCAATCCATAGATTGCAATGGGACCATTTGGTATAATAGGCGGTAAACTTGAAAACTCATCCTGCACCAAATTGTTGATAGCATTCATCAAAAGCGCATTAAAGCTACGATTTTTGCAGCTTATGTCAATTTGCAGAAGAAAGATGGACAAAATCGAACATACCCAATAGCATCCAGTCCAATTCTGACCTCCTTTGTTAACGAGGCTATGCACATTCTCTACATAATTGAAAAAACAAAGAAAGGTTACAATCAGAGGATTAAAATGCAAACTTTAGGACTGTAAGGTTAAAAATCTCACTAGTTGAATCAAGGAGGAGGTATCTGGAAGCAACAGTATCGACTATAACAATCTCATTGTATCTACTTCTTACGGCTGTAACAACCCAGTACTCTTCTTCTTCTTCTCCGGCAGATTCTTGTCGAATTTGCATCTCATCATTGTCACTTGGCTTGAGGCAAAACGAAATTGAGACTCTGGGTTTGTTCAGAGATGGGTTTATGAACAAGGGTTTTGAAAATTGGGATGGTTTATATGCAAGGAAGTAGCTTTCGTTGCGAGAATGTGATTGTAGACATGAGATGGCCATGGAACTTAAAGCTGCCATTTTTTTGGGTTTCTCAGTGATCTCTTTGCTCTCTTTTCTTCATTGCATTGCTTCCAAAGTGTTATCCTTTCTACTACCTTGGATTTACATGTTTTACAGTCTCAGGTCAAAACCAAAAGTGACTTTTGGATTTGTGACTCTACAAAGTGAAAATTACAGGTTTTACTTTGACACCGGCACAACTTGTAAACCAGTAAGTGGTGAGTTGTGACTCACAAACGGCACAACTTGTGTCTCTAGAAAGTGAAAATTAGTGTTGAATACAAACGACACGATGTGTTGTTCTCTTCAAAAGGGACCTTCGTGTTGGTCTATGAGACCACGTAAGCTATGAAATGGCCACGAACTCAAATTAGCTAGTTTTTGCCAAATTCGACGTAATAATCTTCACCAAACACCAATCACATTCACATAAACAACAAACTATTTACAGTTTTTCTATATTTTCTTCCAACTTTCAAACTGCAATACAACAAATTATCTCATTAGTTTAGACCAAAATAATTTTGATGATTTGATTCGCAAATCATAAACTAAAATATTTTTTATCCTATTCATAAAAACATAGAGATTGAGACACTTCAACGGATAGGCTAAACAAGAGCCCCTCATTTTTGCCTCCTCACCTTCTTCCATTTACAAATAAAACACTCACACAAATCTTCTTCACTCTCCCCCAATTTTCCTCCCAAAATCCACCCCAAAACCCTAATTTCCCTCTCCCATGGCGATTTCGGCTCCTGCCCCTACTTCTTCCTCCTCCAGACTCCTCTATTCCTACGCTTCTCCCGCCATTTCCACCTCCGGTAATCCCAAATCCCTAACTCTCTCCTCCTCCTTCCTCCCTTCAATCGCTTCCCTCTCCCTCTCCACCTCCTCCCCTCAACGCCTCCGCCGCGCGTTCACCGTACGCGCCGCCAGAGGAAAATTCGAGCGGAAGAAGCCGCACGTCAACATCGGCACAATCGGTCACGTTGACCATGGCAAAACCACTCTAACCGCCGCGCTAACCATGGCCTTAGCTTCAATTGGATCCAGCGTCGCCAAAAAATACGACGAGATCGACGCCGCCCCGGAGGAGAGAGCTCGCGGAATCACAATCAACACCGCCACGGTCGAGTACGAGACGGAGAACCGCCATTACGCCCACGTCGATTGCCCCGGCCACGCCGATTACGTGAAGAACATGATCACCGGAGCTGCTCAGATGGACGGAGCAATCCTCGTCGTTTCCGGCGCCGACGGTCCTATGCCGCAGACGAAAGAGCACATCCTTCTAGCGAAGCAAGTCGGCGTCCCCGACATGGTCGTCTTCCTGAACAAAGAGGACCAAGTCGATGACGCAGAGCTTCTAGAGCTCGTCGAGCTCGAGGTTCGTGAGCTTCTCTCCTCTTACGAATTCAACGGCGATGACATTCCGATCATCTCCGGCTCCGCTTTGCTAGCCGTCGAGACTCTCACCGAGAATCCAAACGTGAAGAGAGGCGAGAATAAATGGGTGGATAAGATCTACGCTTTGATGGATTCCGTCGACAGCTACATTCCGATTCCGACGAGGCAAACGGATCTGCCGTTCTTGTTAGCCGTGGAAGACGTGTTCTCGATCACCGGCCGTGGGACTGTAGCGACGGGGCGTGTGGAGAGAGGTACAGTGAAAGTAGGAGAGACTGTTGATTTGGTTGGACTGAGAGACACTAGGAATTACACTGTGACCGGAGTTGAAATGTTTCAGAAGATTCTTGATGAAGCGATGGCTGGAGATAATGTGGGGTTGTTGCTTAGAGGTATACAAAAGGCTGATATACAGAGAGGGATGGTTTTGGCGAAGCCTGGATCGATCACTCCTCATACGAAGTTCGAGGCGATTGTGTATGTGTTGAAGAAAGAAGAAGGTGGGAGGCATTCGCCGTTTTTCGCTGGGTATAGGCCTCAGTTTTACATGAGGACGACGGATGTTACGGGGAAAGTGACGAAGATTATGAATGATAAGGATGAGGAGTCGAAGATGGTTATGCCTGGTGATCGGGTTAAGATCGTTGTGGAGCTTATCGTGCCGGTTGCTTGTGAGCAAGGGATGAGGTTTGCTATTAGAGAAGGTGGTAAGACTGTTGGTGCCGGAGTGATTCAGGCTATTCTCGAATAATGAGTAAATTAGATTGTTCTTGTTTTGTTTTTGTGGGTTTCTTTGTGGTTTAGAAGCTCTGGACATTTTGGTTTGCTATTAGTTTTGTTTATCTTCTTTTGTTTCGCCATGTGCTATGAGAACTCGGAATCAAAATGTCGTATATTCTCTCCGGTTTCAATCTGGATTCAAGGCTCACGTTCGTTGGATCATAAACCATAGTTCTAAACACTTAAAGTAATGCTGACATAAAAAACCACTTTATGATATAGTATTATGCATAGGGTTATTGAATATGAAAAATAGCTTTTAAGTTGCAGAAGGTTTTGTTTGTCAGCCGAAAAAACTCTTGGAATGTTTGATTCTCTCTGATATTTTTGTTTTGGTAGAAGGTTAAGTCTTCGTATCATGGTAGTGGTAGTGGCTATGATGGTGGCAATAATGGTGGTGGAGGAGGTGGCGGTGGCTGACCATCACCACCATTATTTGTAAAATCTCCATCACGTCTTTTAACTTCACCCTTTTTAGTTCCTATACTGAATGATGGGGTTACTCGTATCATCTTGCTTCTCCATCCTAATTTATCAAAACAATTGTTAGAGATAAAATATCATGTCTATGTAAAAAGAATGTTAATTAATTAGAAACAAATGTTAATTGTAATCAAACCAAAAGAAAATTATTTTGGACGAAAATCTTATTTAAAAAAATATATATTTCAAAATACTAAGTCGAATCAAATGATATTTGTCCCTTTTTGGTTCATTAACCAAGATAAATATACAAAACCTGAACTGAACAAAAATTATATTATCAAACGGACACTCTAACTGACTTTGGAGAAATAGTTCACAAGAACTAGCACAATATATACCTGAAAAAAATATCGGTGTTTCTGGAGAACTATATCGATCTGCACATATCACCAATTTTTGCTATTCGATTTATGGAAATCATTAGGAAATATGTGTCAAGACTCAAGACTAACCTGATGGTTGTGGAGACGCAAAAGCACAGTCATTAGAGCACGAGACCATAAGAGCCATAAGAAGCAAGAGCACCACCTTCTTTGTCATCTGTCTTCCTCACTTTGTTGATTTGTGAAACATCATGAATTCATGATCCCATACCCTTATTTATATATATAATTTTTTTTTTGATACATTGTTTCTTTGATAATTTGTAATATAGGTTTCATACAAGGATAAAAAATGACGCGTAGCAAATAATGACAATTTTTCAGCCATCCATTCATTTAGTCAACAAAGACAAAACAAGTCATTGGCATTTACCTTTGCTAAGGAATTATCTTTTTGAATTTAGAAAGACATTTCTTCTCAAATAATGATGATCCAAAGGAAGACTAATATCATTGAGAGGGTTTCTCATGTAACAATAAAGAGACAAAAGCAGCCCAAAGATGTAGGCAGCCCATTAAACCAGAACCTGAGATTGGTTGACTAGCACTCAAGATTGAGAGAGTAAGTAAGAATGTTTGTGATACAAGTAAACTCTATTGAAGGAAAACACATTTAACGTTTTTTTCGTGAGCCAAAAGTCTTAGCTATGTGATTCCAATAGCCATTGGTGATGGTGACTTGGTGAGCACACTGCACACAACTACTTCATCTGGTGAACATGCGTGTATTCAATATTAAGAAATTAGATTATCGGCTAAGCATAAACCAATGAAAGGAAACTTAAACACTAAGACATTGCTTCATTAAAGCTACTTTATTTCAGCGAAAATTCTGACAAAAAACTGCAAAAGATTTTTGTTGAAGGCTGCTACAAGGCGTTGCTTGGGGAAATGTTTCACTTTTGACCACTTCGTCGGACCTTGCAGTGGGATTCACGTACATACCAATCGATGACAGATTAGACCCATTGTAAGACCCAAAGAAACCATCAAACTCGCATCGATCATGTATTGCCGGATCAATCTCTATGGTAGGATCGTCTGCATAGTCACCATCTAAAATTCCAATCGGTCCGTGCTTCCCAAGGTTAGTGTGGAATGTCAAAATTTTTATTCCTAGTGACAGTGCTAGTACTCCAGTTAAGCCAGTCACATATTCATCTTGCTTCAGTGTCACCTGCGTATATATAACTTCATCAGCGACTTTTCATTTCACAGGAGGTTACTAAAAAAACGATCAGACTATTTTAAACAAACAAAACTTACAACTCTAAGATTGTGTCCATCAGAAGGACCAAACTTTTTGGATAGGACAAGAACTCCTTTCTCCAAGTAACCAAACTGAATAGATGTTATGAGATTTTTGCTGTAAGAAACGTATATATTAGAGATCATGGTGCGTCCCTTCTCGTTCCATTCAACCTCACTATAGCCGGCCACTTTGCTTCCCACTGGTCCGGCTCTTATCATCTCTATACTAAGAAGGGTAAAGAGTAGAATAGTTTTAGGAGGACAGTGAGAGAGATATAGACGAAGGACGAATAAATAAGTTATACTCTCTTGTCCAGAACCCAAAGAGACGTCATAAGTTTAATTTATGAATTTAGTTGCGTTCATTAAAGAAAACTCTTGAAAATTGTTTTAGAGTAAGTTTTTCGTTTGACCAAAATCCGTTTACATTTTTTTCTACAATTAATTTTCTAACCAGACAAAGGGATTCTATTGGACACATCTCAAGCCGGTGGAGTGGTGAGGATCAAACAAAAAAATTATATCATATAAACAGAAAATTTGATAGTACAGCATTTAATTAACAAGATTTGATGAGATTAGTGAGAGAGTTTAAACTATTCTTGTACAGTTGTACTAGTGTCGTTGGACTTGGATAGTTGGATGAGCCATAAATCATAGGCAAAACTTGAGCTCCGTTCTTGAAAAATCCGAACTGGATTGATGTTTAATATACGAATATGTGTGAGATTCTGACACAGCTCATTTCTTCCAAGATTTTGCAAAGCTATCTTCTAGAGGCCCAACTTTCATTATCACCAAGATGTAGAAACCTAATGTTTATACACCGAAGATGAGATGCATGCATTGTAGACTAGTAGGGATTACACTATAGGAAATTTTCCAAGAACCAAGGTGTCTATGTAGATTCTTAGTCACTTACTCACTTATGGTGTTTCTTGGGGATCAAGCAAAGTAAAAGTCCAAGTATACATCCAACAACAATCTTGGAGAATTGAGCAGAAGACGACTCGCTCTTTGTAACTTTGTTTATGAGAGAAACACATTTAACAAACAAACTAAAGTAATGGGTATACTTTAAATTAATCAAAAGAATAACTAAGAGTGTCTGTTAGAAAAAAAAAACCCATGACGAGGGAAATCCATTTTAAAATTTCGTGAGCCTTGGGCCTTGGCTATGTGATTCTACTAGCCATTGGTGATGGTGTAAGCATGCAGCTACGTATAATCTATGTAGCTTCTATCCTCACAAATAACTGATACTATCGGGTCTGCTTGAATCCATTAACCACGTATGATGCATATCTTCAAGAATGCGAAATCAACTCGGGTCTTTTAATTTGTCATTTCTTATATTCTTTTAAATCAGACATACGTATGTCTTCGAATTTGTCTTTCGTTTCTCAAAATTCAGATTTAGAATAAGATATCATTTTTCCTTTTTTTTTATATATTTCCAGTGTACGACCAAGTTTTATTTATTTATGTATTTATAAATACCATACATAAACACCTTATAGATTTTTCGAAACATACGATTACATATTTGAGACTTTAAGACATATGAATAGTGTGATTGTGGAGAATAGTCTTTAGATATGATAGTATGATATATATGCTTGAAGCCTATCAATAGCTTCAACAGTTATGAGATGGAGAAACGGAAACTAAGGATTGTTCCAACCACCAGCTTGACCACTGATTGATCCACCGACATCTATTGCACTGTTGGGCTTATAGTTACTCATCAGTCTCCTCCCTGTAAAAATAAATAAATAAATATATATATATATACATCATACTATTATCTGCGAAGTTAGAATTTCGAATGGAGGCACCACGTTAACTCTCAGCCTCGGAATTACATAACTACCCTTAATGAAAATCTTGATAAAATCTTTGAATTTTCTTTTTTTTTAAATAATTCGTTTCATGTATTTGAAAAAACCTTATAGAAATTATCCAATTTAAATTAAACAATTCTTAAATGATATAATGATATTTTTGTCTTAATAAGATCCAAAACCCTAATAAATTACTAATACTTTTTTTTTGTTTTGCTAATCGATTCTAAATTAATATTTTACGACCTATAATATTTATACGGAAAATCCTAATATCTTATTCAATCATAACCTATAAATATCAATACCGATCTCACAAAAAAAGCAGTCATATTAAAGGAACCCTAGCAACTATCAAATTTATTGAGATCCGGATATCGGTGGAACAGATGAATATCTTGGCTTTGGATCTTTCAAATTCGAGTGAAACTGTGTATACTGTGGGACGCTTGGATGATATGCTCGCTGGGATTTGATGGAAAATGCAAGAAAGAATAATTGAAACACGACAAACACGATTAATATATGCCTCTGGCATATGGCCATAGGCTCTTCCTTTATGATAAATAGACGTGTGGTTGTGCGTTGTGCTGTTGTAATGGGTGAAAAAGGCGACATGGTTGTAAGTTTTCAAATAACTTCATGTTCTCTGTAGTATTCTCATTACGTTACCAAAACCAAAGTTATTGGATTTTAAATAATTTTTGAGTAATTTCACCTTTTAAGTTATATAATCGAATGGTGTTCTTTAGTATATAGCTTTGCTTAACACTGTTACGTATTCTTGCAGGCTGTAGCAGGGAAAAGTTATAAATAAGCTTAACGAATGTTGAACCTTTTATTGCCCGTTATAAAAATACATCTATTTATGTTGAAGCGTGGCCAAAAAAGCAGATGGCAAAGGACGAAAAAAACAATGTAAAACAGGAAAAGAAGCGAGTGTCTTTTATATGGTCTTAATTTTGTGTTCTATGGACCAATTATTAATTGACAAGAGAAATTACAGAAAGCGGCCTTGAAAGCAGAAGGAGCTGAGCGTGCTAGGAAAAGAAAAGCAAAAATTGGAAACTAGATAGTTAGCCTTCCAATTTATCGTTTCATATATTGATGTTGGATTGATTGAAACTAAAGATTCATTATAGGGGTTCTTCTTAGAAAAGAGTCCATCCATGGATCATTCGCAATTCTTTGTAAAGGGTGTATGGACTCTTGCTGAGCTATATATTGTTGTAGAAGTCTTACGGAAGAGAATTTATTATAATTGTTTATGTTTTTGACTCTCTTCAATGATTGTTACGATTGTTTCTGTTTGTTCAGAATCTCGATGGCCTCCACGATTAACAACTACAAGCTCTTGAAACAATCCAAGAGGTATAAATAATATTTTGAAGTAGATACAAGAGTGTTCAAGTTTCACTTTCATGTTCACCGTCTCCACACACTCTATCATCATAAACATAACCACAACTGCCATTATTCCGAAATATTGCTGTGTCGCAATCAGGGTGAGACAGATTCGTGAGGTTCAATTAATGCTCTTGAGACTCTTAAAATAGGCTAAAGACGAGTACCATTCACACATTCCGATTACTATTTCTTGCCATGTTAATTAGTTTAGGCATGTTCAGAAAATAATCTTTATATCCACTATAACTCTATAAGGCATCTCTATCTATCGTTAGCTAAATAAGGTTTGGTGTAACACTTGCTATTTCTCTTGAGGCTCGGAGCGATCATGGATGTTTGATTTTTTAGTAATGGTTTAATATTATATATAATAAAATTAGGAGATAAACAAGAAGAAAATGACAAGGGATAACAAAAAGAAGAAAAAGAGATTATTGGAGAATAAATAAAAGGGAGTAAAAGTCTGGAGAAGAAGAAGTTGAAGAACAAAACTAATAAAAGGGGAATACTTTTTTATCTCTCTAACCGAATGAAGAAACTGAGTAGAAGAAAAAGACTAGACACGTAGAAATTAGAAGATTAAGAAGTTAGAGAAGACAAAACACATAATGTTATCATCATATTTAATGTTTGGTAGGGGTTAGAGTGTACGGTTTATGAAAGATTTATAATATGAGATTAAATCAGAAAATAAAAAGATGACGATGAAGAGAGAGAGGAAAAGAAAAAAGATTAAAAAGTTTGATAAGAATAAAAAAAAAACAAACGGTAGAAAATGAATGAACAAAAATATGAAAGAAGTAAAAGAAGAAGAAGATAAAATGGGATTGGGGTTTATGATGTACGGTTTATATTGATGGGCGTAAGGTTTAGTTTTAGATTCATTTAAATTTTTTTGAATACACTACCTTACTGATCGAAAACGAAACAAAAAACTTCTTTTAAGACAAAAATAAATATAAAATTCAATCCAGAACTAATTTGTAAAATGTGGAGTTTGGGTGTACGGTTTGGGATGTGGGGTTTGGGTTTGGGTGTAGGATTTGGGGGGGTGGGTGTGGGGTGGTTATACTGTGGGATTTGGGTTTAGGATGATTAGGATTTATTTTATGAAATAGGGTTTAGTTTTTGGTGCATTCTTAAATTTTGAATTATTATGTACTACATTTCTAAATTACATTCACAAATAGAAAAAACTAAAATAATTAAAACAAATCCAGAATAAAAAAATAACAAAACCAATAGATTTTTAAAAGATCTCGACTATCTAATGATAAAAACTCTTTTAAAAATCTTTGAAAATATAAACTATCGAATGAAGTGATAGGTGAAATACAAGACGTATAAAAGAACGAATAATAACAATGAGTAAAAGAAAAGAAGACGGTGAAAAAAAAGATGGAAAATTTGGAGAAGAAAAAGAAAACTCGAACATGAGGAAATAAAAATCAAAGAAGAAAAGATGGATGTGAAGAGAAAAAAAAAAGACAAAGAAGAGATCAATAAAAACTAGAATAATATGATGTGGTAGAGAGAGGAGGAATGAGGAAGAAGAAAACGGAAAAAGAATGTAAAGAAAATTAGAAAATAATAATAAAAATAGTGAGTTAGAGAATATAAAGACATCACAAGAAAATATTGAAAAACAACAATTGAGAAAATAAGAAGAAGAAAAACATAATGAGAATGAATACAAAATTGAAAGAAAAATAAGAAAATTGAATAATTAGAGAAGAATAATAGGGAGAAGAAAACAAGAAGTGAAAATATTGTTGTATCTCTTTAAGAAAATAAAGAAGATTATGCAAAAGAATGAGAGAAAAAAAAGACAAAAGTAAAACACACTCAGATTAGAAAAATAAAAAGTCGGCGAAAACATAAACGATGAATACAATCATAAATTCTACTACTTATATTATTAAAATCTTTGTACTCGCACAAAGTACAAGGTGCACAAGGCTCCATTTT